CAGAATACTATTAACTCAGACTAACACTAGCAAGCACAGGTTTTTCTTAGAAACTTCACTGGAAAGACTGTGGTGTGCTCAAAAGGGTATACAGCAGGGCTAACCAAAAGCATGAACTTAATTATTGCAACAGTCTTGAGTTCAAAGATAGCAAGAAGTTACATTTAAATACACAAGTAACACATCCATGACTGAGCAGCAGCAAAAGAAAAGAGCTGGAGTTCAAATGTGGGATTCTCAGCAAAGAGCTTCAGGCTCTGTCCACCGTCCTGGCTTTCAGGAGAAAAAGGAAAAAGAAAGAAAAGACAAGACCCTAACCCTTCTCTTTGTCCCTCCCTCCCTCCTTTTCTTTTATGTGTTCTTCTGACTTCTCTCTCTTCTCTATCTCCCTTCCTCTATCAGAGGAAGTCTTGTGTCAAATCTCCCCACCATAAACCTTGAACAAAGAATTCAAGTACAAGTGATCCCTAGGGAAGGGGAAGGAGAAATCAGTAAGGAAGCAGGAAACAGAATGGGGAAGGAGAAGAAACAACCAAGGGGCAGCTACAAGCAATAGTCCAACCTCAACCTCATTTTGTTGCTGCCTCTGAGTCAAATACTGTCCACAGTTTTGAAGACCTTAAAGCAAAGACTTTTGTACTCATTTGGTAGTCATTGCATTGGCTGCTGGATACTTCTGGCTTTTAAATGGAATCTAGAAGAATGGCAGTCCTTGAGGACATCCATGACAGTAAAACAGTTTAGAAACCTTTCCCAATCCCAAGTCTGCTGCTCCTGAACTCATATCTGAGCCTTGGGCTGCCAGAATGCTGACATATTTATAAGACACAAGACTATAATAACATAAAAAAAACTTATGAACCAACAAGGGCATCTTGTATTACCCCATACTTTCCTGTTCTCTTTACTGAAGCTGTGAGGCTTACCTTAAAGCAGCATGCTTTGAATGCCCATTCATTTGCATATAAATTTTCCTTTTGTTCCTTAGTCTAGCTCTAGCTAATATTTTAGGACATTCCTGCTGATTCCTCATAACCCATTTCTCTCTCTCTCTCTCTCTCTCTCTCTCTCTCTCTCTCTCTCTCTCTCTCTCTCTCTCTCTCTGTCCTTTATGGCCTTGACAGGAGACCTGAATTTCCCTTTGGTCTGGAAAAAATTATCTAACCTGGTATTGTCAAAGACACTATACGCCAGACAATTAAGGAACTGATTTTATTCAGGTTACTGCAATCTAGAGAACATCCATTAGTGGGAATGTCTCCAAGTAAAGAAAGAAGACCTGGAGTGTTATAGAGGCAGGTAAGCCAAAAGGTCATTCATAGGTCTATGGAAACACAGGAAAGAGTCTCATGGGGCACTAAGGACACATGCAGTGGTATTCTGGAGAAGCATGCAAGGGCAGGCAAGGTGGTCCTGTGTGGTTAACCATTCCTATGGAAAACAAAGGGATGAAGGTATTTGCTATTATTTTTAAATGCTATTTGCTTATGTAGTGTGTATTCACACCACATGCATGTGTAAACATGTATGAGTGTACGTGTAATACAGCACATGTGTGGAGGTAAGAGGACAACCAGAGGAAGATGGTTCTCTCCTTCTACCATGTGGGTCCCAGGGATTAAATTCAGTTTTTCAGGCTTGGTGGCAAGTACCATTAGCCACTGATCCATCTCACCAGTGATATAGGCGTTTTTAATCATTACCGATCCCCTGAGAGTATGGAATCAGATACTACAGTATTGCCAAGGTTTTTTATAAGTATAGTGCAGAATTTAACCCACTAAGTTGGGAAATGATTACAAAGAAAATGAGAGGGGTCCTTTTTGACATAACTGTCAATCCAGAAAGTACTGACATTGACCCATTTAAAACATGGATGTCCACGGATGGGCAGTTTCAATGATCCAAACAAACCTGCACAAAAATTACTCCTTTGAGAAAAATGTAAGTTTTTGCTTATCTTGGTGCCAGGACATGACAGAGGCCATCTTGAGTTGCAGCTTCCGTGTTGCCCTTGGATAATACTGGCCTGTTTTCATAAGAGTGTCTCAGCATATTATAGATAAAGGAAACCATAGAAATCCTCATATATAGACAATTGACCCCAGAATGTACCCATCTTGGTTATCTTCATGGCCACTGAGTGGATTTGGAATCACATGAGATGCACCTCTGGCATTCTACGAGAGTGCTTCTAAAAAGCTTAATTAACTTGGGAGGGTAAAGCACTCTGAACTCCTAAATGCAGGTCTGGTACCCAAACTGAATAAGAAGGAAGAGGTGGAAAAGGCAGTGAGCACACCCCTTCATTGTTGCCTGAATTCTGTTCCTGCTGCCATGGCTTCCCCACCATGGCGGACTGTATCTCTCTAACTGTGAGACAAAATAAACAGTTCCTTCCTTAATTGCTTTCATCAGGTATTTTGTTGCAGCAACAAGAAAAGTAAATATTATATGTCAGATGCCCTTCTGATGGCTTGAAACCAAGTGCATTCTAAGTTTGATGGACATAACTTTTGTTTTGTCTTCTACATAACTTTCCTTTCTCTGGCACATAGCTCCAGGTTCTATAATTGCTCTTGCTTCCTCCATTGACCATGCTTCTGACCTCCCTTGTCATTTCTGTTAGTGTGTCTCCAACAAATTGCATTCTGCAGTCTAGGATCAGTCTGCTTCTTTAGATTTTTCTCCCTAAGATGAGTCCTCACTACATAGCCTAGGCTCATGACTATCCTACTTCAGCCTCCTTAATACTAGGGTAACAGATGTCCACTACCACAATCAGACTGTATGTCTCTAGGGGGTCAGTTTCCCTCACCCCCTAGAGACTTATTAAAGACAATGAAACTTCCTGAACATCAGTGTGGCATTGATGTTCTAACTGGGAACCAGAGATGTGCATGGATTAAAAAAAGAAGAAACCCAGAACAGCAAATCAAACCCATGCAAGAAGGTATAAGAACAGCCATTACACAGAATACCCACTGAAGATCTTGAATTTGGTCTTCTCTGAGAGGATACCGTGACATAAAAGCAGATCAGCCACCCTTTCTAAATAGTTAACATCCAAGATAGGTGATCCCTCTATTGCCAGAAAAGGGAGTTGGTCAATATGATTCTCCAAGTTGAGTTTTTGGTTGTGTGTTGTTTACTTGATGTTGGTTATTGTTTAATTGCAATGTTGGAAATAGAACCCAAGGCCTTGCGTGTGCTAGGCAAACTTCCTACCACTGGGAGCCTATGATCACCAATCAGTTATTTGCTAGTGCAGCCCTTTTGAGTTTTTTCTGTTCTTCACCACTCCCTATTTACATGTAGCTCCTTGTCTTATTTCCACAAGATCACAAAGTCAGCTTCGTGGTTACAGCAGCATCTAGCTTTATGACATCAAGAGCTTTTCAGCTCAACATCTCTTCACCCTTGACCCCTGGAATTGGAGCAGAAATTCCTCTTCTGTGATGCCTGCTTTTAGGGAAACTGGAAAATGAATTGCCCCTCTGTACACCTCAGTTGCCTCATCTCAATCTTGCTCTCTTCTTGATGTGCCTGGATTGGTAAGAAGGACTTAAAGTTAGACACACTTCTTTCCCACGTAGAAGGCTCCAACAACTCTGTAGAACGTATCTGTGGTACTCAGCTTCTTCAATTCTGGAAACAAGGCCCACATCTATAAATGGTGCCCTTAGCTGGAAAAGATGCTTTTCACAAAGATAGCTTCTACCTCCCCTAAAGACTAAAGGCAAAGGGAGGAAAGGAGAGAGATGATAAAGAGGGAGGAAGGAGGAAGGGAAGAAAGGAAACTTTCAATTCTGTTTTCATTCAAATAGCCATGAGAACTGGGAGCCTATGATCACCAATCAGTTATTTGCTAGTGGAATTTTCCTGGGAAGGAAAAAGAGCACTTAGACTCAAAATGTATACATTTCTTCCAAAATGTCATTCAACATCTATCTCTTTCCCAGATAGTGACATACGCTCCTTGTTCCTGTCAAAACGTCAGCTTTCAGCACCAGCATTAATAATAAAAGCCAAATCCAAAAAAATCCAGCAAAGGAATTTCTGTTTTGCCATGGAAGAGTGAAGAGTTTATCATCCTGCTTTATTTTAAGATGCCAGGCCCCCAATGTTTTATTTCTTTACTGTTCTCTCTTAATTAAAAAAATCAATTCCTTCTATTTGGTTGAAATTTCCCTTAGAAACCTGTTACTTACATACTTTTTCTTCCTTTAAATATGGTGATTTAGAATGCTTCAATAATAATTTCATAAGAAAGATACCCACACTCTTCACTTACTCTATTTTGACTGATGCTGCCAGTGGTTATGTGGTTAGACTAAATAATAATAAAACAAAATAATAATGAAGGTGAGGATGATGATAGTAACAATAGAATTGCAGTTATTTCATTTTTGGTTTTGAAACAGAAATTCTCATTTTGTTTTCAGCTTTTTCTTATACTTTATCTTTTTGTTTGCTTGCTTTCCCCCTCAATGAGAAAGTAGGAAAATATAGCCTAATAATATGACCAAGGCAGTCTGTGAGCCGAACTTAATGTTAGGGAAATAAAAAGATTTATTTGTCTTGTATTTGTGTCTCCCTAAGGAAGCTAAAGACCCAAGGCAGCAAAAGAGAGGCAAGAATTCAAGATTTGATGGCTAGATAAACTGGTAACTACAGGGGGCAGAAATACAAAGGAAAGGAAGAGAGTTCAGAGGCAAAGGAGATAGCACAGAGTGTTAGGGGGGTAGTTTCTACATGCTACACAGTCCTAAGAACTTCACAGTAATCATTCCATGTTACATCGTCAAACTACCACGTCTCAATGGCATCTCTTCTTTACAGCTGGGAAAACTGAGACATTATAATGGAAGTAACCTCTCAAGGCCACCTAGCACAAGTGGCAAAGCCAGGAACTGAACCTATGCCATCTGACTCCAGTACACAATCCAAAGAAAACCCAAAACACTCCTGAACATATTTCAGCCATGTTGTATACTTACTCAGAAACTTTTGTTCTCCCCTACTGTCCTGGCAGTCTTCCCAGACCTCACAAGGGTTCCAGGAGGGCCATAGCACGGTAGAGGATGCCCAGCTCTTTTCCTTCACCTTTCCTGCAGCCAGAAAGAGTCCCTAAGAATACATAGACTGCCTCTTTTCCTGTGGCTTCTTTTGTAGAAACAGAGCTACTGCCTGCTTCTTGGCAATTCCACACCTTCACGCCATCCAAGTTTTAATTGCTTAACACCAGAAATCCTTCAGCTGTTGCCATGGCACCTTTCAACTTCCCTGGACCTTTCCATAGTTACCCAATGCCTACATGATGATTCCAGCTTCCAGAAATATCCCACACGGGCCAGCCCACGATTCCTTTGGCTCAGCTTCAAAGTTGCTCTTCAGCTTCAGCCTACTGAATTTGGTGTGGCATTTTCTAATACCAAAAACACTAACCACATGCTTATGATGGCTGGCCAGCCCATGCACTTGGCCTCCTTCAATCCTCTCTATCACCATTGTGTAAAGGCTGCTGTCTTCCTGAACAGGCAGGGAACCATGCCACAGGACAACAGGCAGAACCAGGGGATCACATACCCTGGGGAATCCAGTATCTTCACCTCCTGAGAGCAGGCTACCATGTCTAACCAGAATTCACATGGGTGCTACATATTTGAACTCTGGTCCTCACACCCCAGAAGCATTTCCTTAACATTGTCTTGGGAGTATTAGGAAGAGTAATTTACTTTTGATGCTCTTTGGAAAACATAAAAACTGCTAAGTCTCTGCTAACCAGACAGCACCAAGAGGGAATGGATCTTGGTCCAGTTGCTCACTGACCTGTTGCAGGTATCTTGAGAAAGTCTGAACAAGATAGATTCTCAATTAATAAGTTAGGGTTTAGGGAAAATGAGGTGGGTCTGCAGTTAAAGGAACTTGTGCCCTTGTCCCCAAGCCCAGTAACCTGAGTTCCATTACCAGAAGCCACATGGTGGAAGGAGACATTGACACATTCACCGCATTGTCCTCTCCCTTCTCATCCTGGCAGCCCTCCCAGGCCTCATGAGAATTCCGGAAATCCAGGAGGCCCAGTGTGAGGCATATACATTAACACACAAAATAAATATATAAGCTTATTTAATGTTTTAAAAGAACTTAGGACTTGGTTAATAAACCAAAGAAAAAGACAGTGTGCTATGTGTTTCTTGTGTACAGAGTAAGACAATGGGAAGGAAACTGTATCATGATCATGAGAGATGAGTGAGTCACTGTGGGACTCTGCCCCTCTGAGATGCGGGAAAGTATTGAATTGATTCTTTAGGTACAATCTATAAAATTATATCTAGCCCACAGAATGAGATGGCTTCTTCATTTTTAATCATGCAAGTGGATCTGATATGTTAGGATGCCACTGTTCTTGGTGCAGATCAACATTTTCATCTGTCAGATGGGAAAATTACAACTTCCTCAAAGACTTGTTGAAGAAATGTGAATAAACTAAGTTCCATAAGAAAAAAAATGCTTGAAATTAATGGCTTGAAAATTGTATCTGATTTACTTATTCTTTCCACAACAACAAAAAATGTGTATTATTTTTTTAGACTCTGGAATAGAATCTAGAGTTAGAAAGACATGTCCTTGTCCCTTGTGGAATTCCATGTCCAATTCAGGAGAGAGACAAGCCCAGCACCAATTTCTAAGCTAGAAGGAGCCCTGGAGGGGTCTGCATATTATATAGTTACCAACACACCAGACTTCTTGCAATAGCAGGGCATATCTCTGCGGTTTCTGAATTCAAGCTTTGACTGGCAAAGGTTGACATTGCCCTGAGGAAGTCCATCTATACCTTCATCACAGGCTAAGGGGCAAAGACCAGTGCTGGGAACTCCAGATATGCAAGATCTCTTGCCCCGGGAAGCTGTACTAAGTTTATCTGTATGGCGAATGGCTGCATGCATCAGACTTAATGAATCTGGCAGACTGCTGTTTACAGGCAGCCGAGAATTATTCAATGGCTACAGCAGGCAGGGGCTGATAAACGGCCCTGGCTTCCCAGACTGCAATAGTATGTCAGGCTTTGCCACCTTACAAATTACATAAGAACAGGCAAATTAGCATAGATGACGGATAGATACCCACAGATGTGGAGTCTTTCTTTTTCTTTAAGTACATACACTAGGAGTACTTAAAGTAGAAGGCACATCAAATGAAATAGAAGACAACTGGGGTGTGGAGGGAGGACCCCAAGTTTGCAAATGACTGCACTGGGGAGATGCTGCCTGGGAGATGCAGTGACAGTGCCTGATGGAATGGTGGATGACATAATTCCTGTATCCCCAACATACGACCTGTTAATACCTTTGGATTCACACATCATTTTTCCACCTTATTAACACAAAGCTATTTCCTGAGCAAGTTCTGTGTTCTAACACTTTTCTGTGTGCCAAGAAAGCATCAGTAAAAGCCTTGGGGATAGCTGGGGATATTCCTCAGCTGACAGAGTACTTTCTTAGCACACACAAACCTCTAGGGTGGATCCCCAGTACTACATAACCTAATGTGATGGCCCACACATGTCTGAAATCTCAGCTCTCGGGATGTGGAAGCTAGTGGATGAGGAGTTCAACCCCAAGCCACCTCTAGGGTGGATCCCCAGTACTACATAACCTAATGTGATGGCCCACACATGTCTGAAATCTCAGCTCTCGGGATGTGGAAGCTAGTGGATGAGGAGTTCAACCCCAAGCCACCTCTAGGGTGGATCCCCAGTACTACATAACCTAATGTGATGGCCCACACATGTCTGAAATCTCAGCTCTCAGGATGTGGAAGCTAGTGGATGAGGAGTTCAACCCCAAGCCACCTCTAGGGTGGATCCCCAGTACTACATAACCTAATGTGATGGCCCACACATGTCTGAAATCTCAGCTCTCGGGATGTGGAAGCTAGTGGATGAGGAGTTCAACCCCAAGCTACCTGGAAAGTTTGAGGCCAACCTGGGTTTCATGAGACCCTGCTGCCCCCTTCTTCCAAAAAGAAAAAAGAAAAAGAAACCCCTTTGAGAAACTGTATTTTGTAGAAAAAAAAAGAATAGAATTAAAAATTTGCCAGCAGCAATAACAAGGTAAGCGGATAGTCATACAAGTTATGGTGACAAATAGCATGACGCAGGAAAGCACTGTGAATGACATGGGACATGTAAGGGCAGTAGGAGTGGCACGTGACAGTGTATGCTGCTCTGTTGGAGGACAGGGCAGGCTTCCTGAGAGAGGAATCTGTACGCAGAACACTCACCCTCCCGCTGTCCACACCACCACTGGCAGCCACATGTGGGCACCAAGTTCCTGTCCACACTGGGGCAGGCAGCAAAAGAGAATCCACACCTTCAAATTTCTGAGCTTTGATATAAATGAAGGAATGGTAACTATCTCCTGAATAACCATTTGGTAATGACTTGATATTGGTGTACTAATATTTGGGATAGTTTGGTTAAGCATAGTATTCAAGTTCACTTTATAATGTGAAGGCATACCCCAGTAATTTTTAGCAATGCAATTATGTTCATAAAGTATCTGTCCCTCCTGCTACACACTGGTGAAACAGGAGGTGTGTCTGAGCCTTGGCATTCCTTCCCAATTCTGTCTCAAAGTCCGGAAACTTTCCTTAAACATTCTGTGTGGAGGTCAGTGGTCCTGAACCTCATGCTCAACACCTGACACAACCTCAGCATAGAAACACCTAAAAATGTACCATTCTGCTGCTCTTCCTTGGCCACCAATTGGGGAGAGTTTGTAGCTGTGTGTGTGTGTGTGTGTGTGTGTGTGTGTGTGTGTGTGTGTGTGTGTGTGTGTGTGTGTGTATTTCTCTGCCTGTGTATATAATGCATCCCATTTCTCCGGCACAGTCTCCTACCAGGAGCAGACCTGTGCCAACTCTATGGGTTTTGCCTCCAGTATCAACACCTGTTTGTCTCAGCCACTTCAACTCTTGCTAAGAGTGACCTCCCTAGAAATGAGAAGAACCATTTTTTTTCAGAAACATGTTTTTTCCCCTAGTGTTTGGATGTTTGGCTGGGAACTAGGTGTTACTGAAAATATCTAATGCCAATAACCTGATAAAAGGCAAAGGACATTTTCAGGGAGCCTCAAGTTCCCTCTCCAGACAAGGGGATGTAGAATAAACACAGAATCTCCTGTTCCAGACTCCTCTCTTTACTCTCCTTTTGATGTGTGTGACAGTCTACAAGTGAGGACCATTTCCTACTGAGACGGGTGTTGTGAGTTTCAGATAGGCCAGTCCAAAGGAGGCACTCAATGCATTGTATTATTTTAGTTTTTATTACTTGAGGCTGCATCTACCTCCACCTATCCAAAAGTAGCAGAATTCTGAAGAAAAATTAATCGTGCTGCCTTTCTTCATGGCATCACAGACACAGTTGCCTCAGAGGTGAAGACAAGTTGAAGGTTTCTCCTCCCTTCAACCCCATTTTTCACCCAGGATATATATCACAGACCAAAGTTCTCTGATGGATTTTTAAGGTTACATTTACTTATGTTTGGGGGAGGGGCATGCACTTGCGCATGTGTTATTGGAGTATCCTGCACTTAAGGTTGCAGTCCACCATGTCTGGACAGCTCTCTGAGCTTGGCACCAAATGGGGACTCCCTTTCCAGCAGGGCTCCCTCCCTCCCTATCTGGATGGTGTGTCTAGCCCTGGAAGCCTGACCTTATCTGGAAGCTGTCCCTAAACCTGGATGCCTAACATATCTTAAGCATGACCTTTGGTACAGATCCCTGAAGATGCTCTCCTCCTGCTGCCCATATGATAATTAGTTATTGTGTTCCAGCTACATGGTAGGACCATGCTGTCATATCTGGTAACTAGGTATCCTGCTCTGCTGTATGATAGCAGTGTCAATGCAAATTAGGTGATGCCCCAACTGCTGTTCCCACCCTATATATCTCTCCTCAGTCTGAAATAAAATTGAGCTGTAACACTGAAGCTGTCTCCTAGAAAGCTGTTTCCATCGTACTCACAAGCCATCCCTGTCTTGCTGCTTCTGTTCCCTCTTCCCTCGAAGACCAGTGGCCAATGATCCTTGGGGAAGAGAGAAACCTACAAAATGTGGAAGTCAGAATAACTTATGAGAGTCAGTTCTCTCTTTCCATATGTGGGTTCAGGGATTGAACTCAGGTCATTAGGTTTGGTGGCAATCTCTTTTACCTGCTAAGTCACCTCACTGGAACACAAATTAATTTTTATTGTGAGGACACTCTATTCTCTGTTTCTAGATGTTATCT